GTGAAATTTCTCGTGAAAAATTTCGTTTTTCCAGGGCCTTTTCAAGGACAATGGTCAGTCTATCATTATTCCCCTGAAAGACACTTCAAACGGGGAGGTGAGTGGAAGGGGAGCCCAGGAAAGGCTTCCCCTCAAAAATGTTTGAAAGATAAAAGCAAGTAATATCCAGTCGAGTCAATTTCGTTATGAATGGTTACCAAACATAAGCCTCCTTACTTTTCTGCCTTACTGCCTTACTGCCTCCTAACTTTTCACTAAATGCGCCGTAATATAAAGGCAAACCGTCATTTTGGCCCCTAAAAAATCTTCAATGGCACCTAAGAATCGGGCTTGATGCGCCACATGGCTCCTAAAACTCAAAGGTGAGTTTCGAACACTGCTAAAGTCTCTTGTCCCGTGGAAGGTCCTTTCTCGTAAAAACAAATTCGATGGGTCGAAACGGCGGTCTCGCGGTGGTGTCGCGTCGCGTCGGGGCGGGGGATGGATTGAGCTCGAGGGGAAAAGTTAACAAATTGGTTATTGCGTCAAAACTGGGGCGGATGTGTAGCGGGCGGCGGACATTCGGGGGCCGTTAAACGCTCGCTGCATCCGCGGCCCCGCGCAAGAATGGGCAATGGCTCATGGCGTTGAGGTTGACGATGGCCGTGTTTTTGCGGTTTCGCAAAAATACAATATTTAATGCGGCCCGTGGCGGTGGCTAAAAAACAAAACAGGAAGAAATACTTGTTCGTATTTATTATTGTGTGGGTTCATCTGCGCTGTACAATGTGTCCCAACGCGTCGGAGCGGACTCAGCTCCCCTACATTGAAAAATTTAACGAGGAACTAAAGTACTTGGCTCATACATAAAAACACCTACCTGCATAGGGAATACAATGGCACATATGCTGTTTCTAAAACGACCTAGAAATTGTAGTTCCTAATGAAGAATTTGCAGGTGTCCGATATCTGGCGAATGCTATGTTTAAAATGAAACTACCAAGAGAACTGAGTAGAAGGGTATCCTTGGTTTCTAAATGGAACAAGTATTGGAAGAAATGTGACAAAATAATCTAATCTACTGAAATACATGTGTTTAAAGGGGAAATGCTGCCACACGATGTCAGAAGGCGGTACATTTTCTCAATTGGACGTATTTATGCTAAAAGGAACTATGCTACATGCAAACCTAACGCACATAGTTCCTTTTAGCATAAATACGTCCAATTTTAAACCTCTTTTTCTACCAAAATTTCCCATTTCAGAAAAAAATTATGAAAAATATTGCGAACTCAGCTCATTGAGCACTCTCAGATGAAATGATGGATTTTTTTTTTTTTTCAAATTCTCCATTACAAAATGTAGTCCAAATAAGAACAGAGGTCAACCTAGAATGTCATGCTGAAACCTTGTGATATGTCAGTGCAAAACTGAGGGCTAAGAGTGTTCAGCTCTGGCAGGTGTATTGAGCATTAGAAACACTTTGCTACATCACAGTTAAAACTTTCCGAGTGTTAATGGCTTCATGTGGATACTTTTTTTCGGCCACATCAACCAACAAAACTTGGCGGATCGATCAAAGTTTTGGTTTAATGGACCTAAACTGTAGGTTACACTGAGACACTTGGATATGAAGAAACCGTCCGCTAACCTAACGTACTCCTTCTTTCTGTCGTTGTCATTCCGAGGTTGCGTCTTGCGAGCGGCTGGCATTGGGCTCTCACTCTTGTGATCCGGGTTCGATCCTCGGCGGTTTGCGCCGAATTTTTAACTAACTTGCAATTTTTCATCCCGAAGATTTGTTCGATGTAACCCATAGATCAGGTATTGTAACCATAAGATTAGATCAATGGAACCTAAAGATTTGATTAATATATCATCACTGAGAATATAAAATAAGATAGCGCTGAGCACCAGCATTTGCACCCCAGCACATGCGGCGAATGGTGGTTTTCCTCTATTCCGGTCCGCACCAGGACATAGCCGGGTACTGGCCTCACTACATTCTTTTGTACCAGGCGACATGTTTTTTCTGCACTCCACCACATCCGGCGTAAGGTACAGCATAGTTGATTTTATTTTTCTCCGTGATTCCCTCCCCCCTCCCCCCCCCAAAAAAAAAATCCAACCAAAAAATATTAACCGCACGTTTTGGACCCTTCGTGCTCTACTCTAACATAAAATATTGGTTACTTTTTCTTACTGTGTGAATTTGACAAGTAGCTTATGCAGGTAATCGAGTATATCGGATAGGGCAATTATGGCACACTCTGTACACCATGGCGGAATATGGATGTGTGAGGAGGTTCCGAGCCTCCGATGGTCATCCACCGCGTCACCGCACCGGCGTTTCAGCGCGGCGCGGCGGCGGTGGTGGTTTTCCGACCAACTGGATAAATGTACGCGTCATTGGAGAGTTATGAACGATGAGAACAACCCGTTCCTCATATTTATTCACACAAACATACAACTCGCCCCGCCAGCGTCCGTGTGTGTGTGTGCTTTATAATCATCATCATAATAATTTTTCAATGTTTTCTCCTACTTTCCCCCGCTCCCATTTTTTCCACCCCCCCCCCCCGCTACCAGGGATGAGAGCGCTAAAAATGGGACTCGGGCTTTTATTTTTTCGTTTCGCCCCCATTTTTTTTTATTTATTTAGCCGGAGCATGTTTGATGAATTTATTATTCGGAATTCGTGAGAACGCGGCTGTGGGGTTGCAAGGTTGTTCGATTTTGACAGACATTTATATTGATATCCCGGTTCCGAGCGCGCCCCTCCCCTGTAAAATTCACCCCCGACGATCGCACGTCCTCCTGGAAAAGCGCCCCGGTCTCGCATTTCNCCCCCACCCCCGTTCACGCACGAAAGCCACACGCACACACAGGAGCGGGCACCACCACACCCGCGCGGAGAACAAAAAATACCCATCTGCTCCGAGGCGCGATTAATAATGAGAAAAAAAAAGATAATACGCATCCGAAATGAATAGAATATTAAAAACAAATGTATCAGGCTTAAAAAATTGATTCTGTAAACTATTGTTTTCGTTCGTTTCATTCTTCTAATTGGAATCATGGACCATTTATCTTTCAATACACCCATTTAGCCATGAATCCGAAACGTGCGGTATTTAGCTTGAGCCCGCCTCTGCCTATGAATCTATGCCCATATCTCACTCTTTGTAACCCTGCAGCGCTGGTTGCCTATATTTTGGCTCTGCAATTGGTCCCCCCCTCTCGCTCCCACCCCCTCCCATACTCGGTCAGCAGCTCCGCTGATTCATCTGAAAGTTCTTTTGTAACTCATTTTTCGTTCAGAAAATAAATAATTAGATTCGATAAATTGAATTATTCTGTATTCTCCTCCGTGATTTTTTTTTCAATCGGCCGAGTATTTATTTGTATGGTCAATATCAATGAAATTCAATTACGAACTACCACGACCTCCGCTGTTGGAGCGAACAAAAGCAGCCTCGCTAGCTCAAACTACTCACTCCGGTTATGTTTTTCGATTTTTGCCCCGTTGGAGGCGAGCGGATATTGTTTGGATTTTTCGAATGTTCGAGAATGAGCGTAGTTCGAAGCATGAAATGTAACCTGTCTTCATGGGGTGAAATTCAAGTCCTCAAAACAGGATAACCGGTTGAGAACCGGACGATACGTAATTGAAATTCTACTCAATTCCTACACAAAATTCTAAAAGTATATTCTTCAGGGTCATTACATTGAAAAAAGCGTTCTCTCAATTTTAGTAAATGCGTTAACTTGAATTTTAGACTAAACTCAAGACGGGGTCAATCTAGAACAAACCATCGGGTTTCTCGAGAAAAGACAAGAGGACTCCCTTGAAACAAAAAAAAAATCATGATTTTGAAAAAGACTGTAAACTTTTTTCTCAAAGGAGCCAACGTGTGCTTGAGTGAAGGAACCAGTTTCCTCAATACGTCGTTTCTCTAACGCAAGAATGTAATTAAATTGCAATTTTGCCAAATTTCTCTACGCAAATTGAATTTTACCAAAAGAATCTTGGGCGTCTTTGAACTGAAAGTTTTACCGATTTTTTCTCTGATCTCATGAAATAATAAGACAAATATTGAACGAAAATTGCACCCATACATTCGTGAAAATAAATAAATGAATTGAGTCAATGTTGCAACCTTGGAATGGAGTTAAGTCCCTCCGTCCGGAAAAGGACGAATATTAGTAAACTGGGCGAGCGCCTTCTAAGGGCAACGGATGCAATAAGCCAAACGCGTTAAAGGAAGCAACCTATTTCCTGTAAATCTGTACCCGGAGTGAGCGCCTTCAGAGGCTGACTGATACAATAAGTCAAACGCTGTTGCCTTCTTTCAAACCAATAGCTCGCTTAATAGAAGAAAACACGTTGTGTCGAATGAAAAAACCAGTTTCCTGAATATTTTGGTATAAATCGTCTACTTTTTCATTCTTTGCGCGTCTTTCTTCGGCTTTCACGTTTGATAACGTCAATATAAATTACAACGAATAAGACCGACTCTGTGAAAAAGGACCTTGCGTTCTGGGAAAAAAAATCTTCCTTAACTCCTTGCAAACACTAACTTATACAGTACTCTCTCTCCATAACGAGGAAATCGGTCACTCCTGTGAGCTACCTTTATGTTAAATACATACAATCGTCAAAACAAGAACCTCTCTTTAATAGGGAAATCAGTCAGTCCCTTGAGTTCTCATTATAGAGAGAGAGAGTGCTGGAGCATATTTTTCTACAACCTAAGAATTTTTGTCATGTAACTAGGGACTAACGTCACCTTCAATTTTTCAGATTTTACGGTCAAACTTGTACCGATTCTAGATTTTCCTATATGCATTTGCAAATAGTAAAAAAAAAAAAAAAAATCTCCGGAAGATGACGTCAATTTTCACAAGGTCACAAGAATAAAAATGGAATACAGCCAATAAACATGTTTAAAAAATAGACAAACTGAGAGTAAAATGCAGACAAAAATGTTCAATCATACATAATTAAGAAAAAAATATAATTTCCTTCCAGGATAAAATACATTTTTGAAAAGAAAATCCTAGTTTAAAGCAACAGATGAGAGGGTTTAAATAAGTTGAAGGAGGTACGAGTATTATTAGATTTCAATGAGAGAAATAATTCTCTCTGAAAGTATATGTTTTCTTCGAGCTCTCCATACATACGTCGCAAGAAAATAGACATTTAATTAAAAGTTTGGGTGAACAATCAAACATACTTACTTAGATTGTTTCTTTGGTTACCTGATTCTTTTACTAATTTTAGACAAAATTATTAATTGCTCTTGAAACCTCTGTGAAGACTTGCATCATGGAATAGGATTTTAGTTCTTGAACGAACGTTCATGCTGAACCGCATATTATAAAACATAGAATTTTTAAAATTTTAACATTTAAATTACCTATGAGGAGCATTTGAAGAGTAAGGAACAAGGAGAGATTTATAGATTTGATGAGTCATTTTTCTCCAAAATATTGAGAGCTCGTGAGCAGTTCTCATTATAAATTTAAAAAATTCATGAACTGTCAAAATTTGACCATATTGTTGTGGAAACGCCATAGACCTTACAGGCTTAGCTTCTCTTACTCAACTCCATGGATGAGGCGTGCTTTGCGCCGTGGGTTCTCGTGAGAAATAACGGATTTCCAGGCCCAGCGGTAGAGATAGGTCCATCGGAAGTTTGCGCTTGTTTGTGTTTAGACATGGAGCTTCAGCGTCGCGGAAGTGCACACGTTTTGACATAAAATGATCCGGAGACTGCTAGGCGAGATCAGTTCGTAGGAAGAGATTCCGCGTCAATCCAGTCAAGCCCCCGTGAGAGTCGTAAACGAGTACAGATACTCGGCTGAGTATAGACGTCCGAAAATTTGAATGGAATTTTCTTTGTGCTACCGATAAAATTCAGTAGAATTTTGAAACAGATTCAATCAACGATTTATCTATAAAAAAATAAAATTGCGGCGGAAATTTTTAAACTTCGCATGACGCTTGTGATACTCTGGCCGGTAGGTGACGATATAACCTCAATAGACAATGATTTCTAAACCTCTGATGATAAAATGCGGGGAAATTTTCAAGGGTCCAGCTCGAGCAAACGGAGGTTCCTACGGTATATTTTTGCCCTCTGTTTGGGGTCCACCATGCCGTTCACGATGTTGTAATGGATGTTCACACGAATGTTCCCGATTACATCGTCGAGGCGCTGTGCCCAGAAGGCAACCCTCGCAGTCTGTGAGCGTTCTCGGGGACCTCCATCGGACCATCGCCATGCTCCGTCCTGCCGTCTCCACGAAGATGCCCCAATGGCACCCCAATCTATGGTTTGTCTATCCATCAGAAATCCCTCACTATCGATTTCGAAATAAACTCCCATTTCATCTTTCCGGGTCAACAGAGCCTCTGTTTTGGGGTCGACGAGAAAAACGTCGTTGTAAAACGTTCCGGAGGGTGGGCGTGAGTCCTTTAAGTTCCTTACGGTGACTTTACGGTTGATTACGCCGTCGATGGCCGAGAAGTAAATTTCCACGGGGGTCTTCTCTCCGGTTTCAGGATCAATATGGTCAGCGTGAGTATAGAAGTTCCCAGTTGACAGGAATTCATCGGGATTGTTACCATCTGTGAACTGCTGTCTTGTCCCGTAGTTAGGAAATCCTGCTTCTGCTGACGCTAACACTGCTAACACCAGTGCTGTAGGGATATATAGGTTCATAGTTCCGATGTTGATGAAAATATCTGAAAATAATTAATTTTAAGTAGTGAATTTCGACTGTATGGATGTGATATGCTTTGCTTTATTTCAAAGACAGCGTTGCCATGATTCACGGAAAAAAATCTTTGGTGCTTATAGCCAGATAGGGGGTGACATAAACCATCTTGGATTCCCAGATTCAACCCTTGAGAACAATTTTGCTACGAGCACAAATGTATGATGGTTAGAAACCTCAAACCGCGATCAGGTAGGCGTTGACAACAAAGATGGTAATTCGCACCAACACTGCTGGGCGGGCGCGCCGTCCTCCGTAGACGCCCCGCACAACGTTTCTGAGATAGACCTTCAAAGATGGTAAACTGACCCATCCGGAGGTTTAGTGTATCAATCATGAAAGCAAGGAGAACCTAATATTTTGAGTTTTTAGCCATAAAGAGGAGTATTTTCTTGTGAAACGTACAGCTAAAAAAATTGAATACAAAGGTGTGCAATGTCGCCGGGGTTCGCAGCTAGGGGATGGTGGAAAAGGGTTAATCGCGTAAATAAATTTCGAAATCGAGTAAAATGAGACTTCAGTACTTATTGTGAGGTGCTGCAGTTGTATCCAACCTATCAAATTTTTTTGCCCACCGCGGGGATTGAACCTGCGGAACCTATCTAACCCTAGCCAAAGACCCTAACGATTGAGCAATATGATGACAATCATGACAATCATCAACAGTATGATGACAATCTTGACCGAAAAACCTGCACATAGCTTCGATTTGAACGGAAAATCAGGATATTCAATCTACATACTCAGATTGGTTCATTCATTTTTCTTATTTTTGTATTTCATTTTAACGTCATTTTAACGTTATCTTTTAACGTTATTTCAGTTTTTTACTTTATTTTATTTCGTTACTTCATTTTAAATTTTTTACTTTATTTTTTTTCTTTACGTAATATAATTTTTCTTTGATTATTTATTCTTTATTTCTTCCCTGTATTTTACCGTTACTTACTTCATTTTATTACTTGCAATTTTTTATTTTTTTACTTTAATTCAGTCACTTCATTTTAATTTTTATACTTCATTAAATATCTCTTCGTTGTTATATATAACTGCATATTATTTATCTATTTTTTCTTTTTTTCTTTTCATGTCGAGAATCAATTCAAAATTTTCAAACTAGGATTATTTTTATGATTGGCTAAAGTGATTCTAGCATTGGACAAATAAGCCCAGGCTACTTACTTGAACAAGTGAGATTATGTAGAATAGAAAATAAAAAAATTACCCCTCAAAAGTACTGAAGCCTTGACATGGTGTTAAATATAGTGCATGCCTAGCTTACTGGTAAACCTGGGATGTTTAGCTTCACGACAGCATACAATTGACAAGAAACATTGTTAAAACATTAGTAACAATTGATCAATTTCTGCCATTTCCTTGGAATTTTAAATGTAGAAAAAAATTGATTTTGAAAACTATCATTAGTACGTACCAGGGGCCTTTGGCCGCTACGCTGCCGACCACCAATGCGGAAGAAAACAACATACGTAAAAATTCGTAGAACAACGTCGTATTCAAATACCGTCAATATTTTATTTTTGATCAATGTTTTTAAAAGAATCACACTGTTATTCTAATGAGTTTCCGCAAATTTTCCTGAGTGATTTAAAATAGATAAAAGAAAATTTGACTTAAAACGCATAATATCCAAAATCTAAGCTCAGATTCGGCTTCCTCGTGAAAAATCGATGCAATTTCGCATGTATCATATGTCACCATATCATGAAGGAAAGAGATTAACGTAGGCGTGTAGATTCTAACATATCAGTCCGACATGGCAACATGGGTGATTCGGAGTGGGTCAGCTGATGAGAAAGAAGAAGTTTGTTTTCTCGGAAACGGACGAACCAAATGCTTGACGCCGGCGCCTGGCGGCGTAGCTCAAACGTTTGGATTCTGTGCCTACTTCCGCATACCGGCCGGCTTTGATAGAATCTTTACGCCTACGATTACCCTCTTTTCTTTATGCTATGGAAACAAATAATACATGAAATAGCATTGATTTTTCACGAGGAAGCCGAATCTGAGCTTAGATTTTGGGTATGATGCGTTTCAAGTTGAATTTTCTGAATTTGAAAATTTAAGACGGCGGACGTAGCCTAAATTGATACATCGGCTCCCATTCCATCGATTAAATTCGAATTTTTAGTCTAATTTCGAAAATTCGAAAAACCAAGGTGGCGGGCGTGTCCTAAAACGCTATCTCGGTTCCTGCTCGTCGGATTTTCGTAAAACTTGGTGCGAAGGGGAGGGGGGGGGAGGAAAGAAATTTTCAAACACTGCAATCGATATGTCGCAGGCAAATAGTAAAATTAGACATTTTGTCAAATGCCTAGGCAAATAGTCAAATACTAGGGGGCTATGCCCCCTGACCGCTACGCGGTTTAACCCCCTGAAGGCGCTCCGCGGCCCTATTTTTACCTCCTATCAGTGTAAGTTTTATTTTTCCCCTCAAAAATTACGATATGAGGCATACTCTACTTTTAGAATGAAATAATTTTTGATTTTGATGAATATTTTAGTTCGTTTTAATCCGTTTTTTTTTTTAAATCAGTGAAAAATTTAACATCGTCCGAGTTTCTGAATTGATGTAATAAATGCCCTTAAATTATCATTAAAACCGAGCAGAGTCAAGAATAATTAATTGCGCGAAGTCATACAGTTTTGCGGCGACTTTACCGTCGCCCGAACCGGGGACGGGAAAAGGAGTAGGCTCCACGAACATATTTTTACACGCTTATCAGTCACACAAGGTGGGTTGAATCTGAATTCTTGAAAATTTATCAACATACTTTCCCTAATCAGCCCATATCTAATTGCTTTCTTTGGTGACTCAATGTTGGTAAAGCGTAAAAAATTGACGAGGCAGACTACTAACAAAATACTTTAATTGAGTTTTCTGAGATGGTGACCTTCATAATCAACAAGTTTACAATTTGCACAAACGCATTCTGTAGTTCAATGAGCCCACTTAACCGAGTAGCATCAACCAGAAACAAGATAGGTGAGGCGCAAGCGCACTCTTTGGTGCAATGAGTCAACTTGATGGAGCAGTTTACCATCAATTTTGTCTCGGTGAACAGATTTGTAAAAGCAAGTAGCAACTAATTGAAAATGATTGATTTCCCTAAAGACGTTGTGGACAATACAATGTCGTTGGTTATTCTATCAATTTTTTCATGTATACGGCACCAACTTTTAATTAACAAAACCAAGATGGTTATCCGCGCACAGTCATTTTTTTCCGTGTTTCTTTATCTTCAAATTCCCTGACTTTTCCCGACCTTTTAACGAGAAAATTGCTGCTTATTTTTTTTCATGTTTTTTTTTTTTAAATTTCTTTTTTTTTTTTTACTACGCTGTAATTCGCTAAACTTTGGGCAACATTTCCTTGTTTTGAGACTAAACTACGGAAAAAGGTATTTAGTAACTGATTAAAAGATGGCAAGCCCTAAAAATGACCAGAGAGGATAGGCAGTTGGAGAGTCAGTGATATGTTTTAGTGATTCGTAGATGTGTCAAAAATTCCCTAACTCTTCCCACGAATTCCCTAACTCTCCCGGTAGTGGCAAATTTCCTAAATGTTCCTGATTTTGCCTGTTTTCTAGACCGCCGGCAATTCTGAGGAAAAATGAATGAGAGCTTTGATAGTAAATAGGGTCGAGAAACCAACTTCATGGAGAGATTTTTTAGTGGATTTTAAAGCAACTATTATTCCTTTTTTTATGGGCTCTGGAAGGATATTTATGGGTTTTCTAGGAACCACCAAGTTTTTACTTAAAAGACTAAAACATTACAGATCTCTCGGCGTAACCCCACCTAGGTATTCCAATGCATCTAGCTGAGCTGAACATCATCTCTCAGTCTTGCACCGATACTCATTAAAGCTCTCCCTTCTCTGCGGCCCGATTATTGAAACTATGTCAGCCCGACACGACAAGACATAGCCCTATCTCACCCATGCAATATATCGCAATTCGATGTCTTATCGGCCTGGTTTAAATTTCAATAATCGGCCCGCTGGATTGATTAAGATATTGAACTTTTAGTGCATCCAAAATTTCATAACTGTTTTCGGTCAATCAAAATTCCGATCAAATTTTATGATTTTGTAAACTTGACAGTATTTTTCTTACAATAGTGGTGAAAGTATTCGTCCCACATGACGGCGCTTGCGCCGCGCATATTTTCCAGCGCATCCAAACGCAGATTATTATTTCGCCAAGAGGCGAGAAAAAAAAACATACCTGAAAGCACGATAGGTGTACCACAAATTAGTGATTCGTGACACTGCACCGTAAAAGTGAAATATTAGAAGCTCTGTGATTTCTGAAATACCAGAAATCTGAGGTTTTATATCGGCAGCTTGCGCTTTGGTCTAGTATCGGCTCAGTTTCGGATCCGTATAAGATGGACACATTTTAGCAGGAAGGAACCCAATTTGTTGGTTCATTTAAGAAACAACATGTCCTCCACTAATTTCCTTTTACAGATGGGTGCTTTCATAGACGTGTCAATGATGGCTCAGCACCCGGAAAAGCAGTCCATCTAGAAAATAGGCATTTTTCACACGGAAAATAGGAAAAAGTTTTGCTACCGATCGTTGATGTAGCGACGACGTCCTGATCATCGAATCGTTACCGATCTTATCTCGAAAAAGCTTGTCTATCCACCGCGATGCTGATCGTCAAAGCTCATTCGATAACATACCAATGGCTGTTTCATTGATCTTGAATTGCGAATAGTCAGTGCGTCGTTGCGAATAGAAACATCAATAAGGAAAATGTGGTGCTAATTACTTGCAGACGCGAATAGCTTGATGAATACTGTTGCCTTGGGATGTCTTTTTTCATTCATTTTACCTGTTGAAACAGCAGTTTGAAGTCCGATTTCCAAATAAATTTTAAAAAAAGAAAAAAACTCAAAATTTTAATTTATTAGTTACGTATTGTTCTTTGTATGTGCACATATTGCTACCTTTTCTCAAATGACGACCTTTGCCAATTTCTTTGGATTTCTTTTGATGCGGCTTTAAAAACACCATTTCTTGGTGAAAATATCTCATTTACGTCAAAAAAGTGCCCTTTGTATCCTATATGCTTTATATTGATGACCAAAGCACCACAACACTATACGTACCCCCGTTTGCGACTCGGCAGTCTTTTATCATTCATTATTTTTCTTTGGAAAACTGGTTTTCTAAATTTTAGTAAATGCGTTTACTTGGAGTTTTTTCTAATTCCGAGACGGGGTCAATCTAGAACAAACCATCGGTTTTGCACATGAACCACATTTTGCAATTAGGAACTACAATTTCTGGCTTTTCCGTAAAAACACTCACGTGTGTATAGAGAGACTAATGGTACATAAGTTGTTTCAAAATTGATCCATAGAGGCTATAGTTTCTAGTCGCAAAATGTAGTCCAAATAATAGACAGGATTTTCGAATTTTTCTCGACACAATGCATACAAAAACTTTTCGACTTGAAATCTCCGATGAGGCGGGGAAAAAGTTGACTGACTGTAAAGCGGGACAGACAATTGAATAAATCTCGTCAGCCGTGAATTAATCAAGATCCGAGTTTTTTCACACAACCCGGCGGGACTTGTAATTTAAACGAACTCACTCGTAACGAGGACACGCGTACACACATACACATGCACAGAGTGTATTACTCTTTCATGTATCAATGTATCATATATCATGGCGCACACACGCGCAGCCCGGAGCCCGACGACGACCGGGTAAAAAGCGCTCCTGAGTAATTGATTTGTTTGGAAGCGATAAATCAACTCAATTTTTTACTGTTTTTCACTAGTAAATAAAATTGACCATACAGCACTTCGGTTTCAGGGTTAGGACCGCACCGCGAGGGAGGCTCCGGACTCATCCGCCTGACACGGTGAAAAACAAAGTAAATACTTACTCTTGACTCGAGATGGGATTCCAGTCGAGGGTTGCCAGGTCTTGAGCATTCCGGCGAATCATTTTTTCAACAAGGTTTTCAGTCACAGGTCAACCAGCAGCCTGATTGTTGATATTTTGTGTTTGTCTCGTAGACATAGATGACATTGGTTGAGGAGAAAAGAGGACGTGAATCGCCGGCTATGTCTTATCGCTGCTTTACTGGCCTGGTTACGCGATCAAATTCCCGTCAAATTCCGATCAAATGGTGACTGGTGCGCACCATCTACCATCAAATTTCTGCGGCCTGCAAAAATTTAATGGTAGATGATGGAGCTGTGGGGCTCATCCTTCATCTGATTTCCACACAACCGTGCTTATTTTATGCTTATTTCAATCAACACGCTGTTTTAATTAATTTTACTCATCAATCCAGATAACTCTCGACCGCCATCTTGGTCATCATTTTGATCGGAATTTGACGGGAATTGGATCGTGTAACCAGGCCATATTGTGCTCTTGTCAGGTGGAGTGGACGACATACTGTCGGTTACTTAAGAGGTGCCTTTAGCTTGTCGTGAGTTCCACCTGACAAAGGCACGATAAGCAGGGCCAGATTTACCTACTTGCCGCCCATGGGCCGCCTGTATTTTGCCGCCCTTTCTCATTCGTTTTGAAACATCGATACAAACCATCAAGGGAACGTGCCGGAGGAGGAGGGGCGCATAAGACGTGTTTACTCGTGTTACGCACATTTTTTGTGAAAGCCCTGTCAACACTAGCAAAAGTTCACGGAACTTCGCGCGAAAATTGGACGTATATCTGTCAAACGGAACTAAGCGCCATAGGGTGAGGAAGGTAGAGGGGGGCTTGGATTGGCGGCGAAACCGGGCGTCGGGCTCATTCCGTCCTATACTCGCAATGCTTTTCCATGGCGCTTAGTTTCGTTTGACAGAAATACGTCCAATTAAGTTCTGTAAACCTATCTCTGTGTGGACGAGGCCTTTCATTTCTAAGAAAAGAACGAAAAAAATATGAAAGAATGAGCATGAATGTGGTTTAATGATTTTTAATTTCCGCCACCGCGCCAACCGCACTGTGTTTGGCGCAATGTGTGAAGCACCCCTACAGTCTTGTATAGGCTCTATGCGTTTCACGCCGACCGCTGCCGACCGCGCTACGTTTGACGCAATGCGTGAAGTATTCATGGAGTCTTGTAGGCGCTAACATGTGATCATGCTGACCGGCGCGGCGTGCCGAGGGCTTCTCCTTTCCATCCCAAGTCCTCGTCATCATTACTCTCTGCGCCGCGCTGCTCCAGGCCAAATTGTGTGTTTGGTTATTCTCTCTCAACTAGACTAATGAAAGGCGCTGTCTCTTGTATCACCGAAAGACGAACAAACTAGAAATTACTTTACTTTAACTCTCAGGAAAGGAGAGATTTTTTCGCCTTTTTTCGTTTGTAATTATTTTTTCTGAATCAGATTTTTTTCTTGATATCTACATTTGAAAAAATTACAACTTTTATCGCCATGGGCCGCGGCCCATCTGGCCACCCCCTAAATCCGGCCCTGACGATAAGGTAGCGATTGATAAGATATAGCTGACCAATCAAACTCCGCCTTTAAACCTATGTCATCTACATATGTCTATCCGACAAACACAAAATTTCAACTTCCAGGCTGCAGAGTTATTTGAACTAGAGTACCAGAGAGTACGGAAAAGTCGGAAAATGGAGCTCTCAGAGCTCAAAAGGGCAGCCAACCTTCTACACGCAGAAAATATCACTGCCAATCTTCAGATTCGAATTTCAAACTAAGATGGCCAAAAATGGACATAAATGAGAGTTCTTCCGTAAAAATTAGAAAATGTATGCAAAAATTAAGTCAAATACGTGCATTTCAAAGGACGGGTCGTAACAATTTTAATAATGTATAACTCCGGATAATTTGAATTCATAGTTTAGTTGTCCTTACGGTCAAGAGCTCCAAAGCGTGAAATCGTGCTGTTCGGAATTTGAGAACACTCAATTCATAAGGCTTCTGTTCTGTCCACACGAGCGTGGTTCGAGGAACTAACTCGACGAACTGCTTAGTTTCTCGAAACTTGTTCCTTGAAACGAGGGATGCTGTCCACACGAGTTCGCCCGAGCTGGAACCGGAACTTTAATAAAACTATACAAGTATTCCAAAATAATAGATCACTACGGCCGCGAGAGTAACAAAAACAAAGGTCAAGGCATATTATAGAGGTCGTAAAAAATAAAAACAAACGAATTCACAAAAAAAAAAAAGAAATATAGACTAAGCTAAGAGTACGGAGGAAGTTCCGAGGTCAGTTTGGATAAATAAGTTTCAGCTCAGCTAAAACGGAAACAAGTTCCCTGAACTGAGTTCCGCGAACCGCGCTCGTGTGGACAAGGCCTTAGTCTACTCTACAACAACCACCCGTTTCATCGAATGGGATCGCTCCATTTTCCCTTCGAAATCTTTGTCTATCGACGTCAGTAATCACCCCGCGGATGTGTATCGAGTGTAGTCCACTCGAAGCCCACAACCCGTTCGACTTGACCGTGTCACACATGGAAATATTGATCCACACAGGGTCAAAAATTCTGAAATCGTGCTGTTCGGAATTTGAGAGCACTTCCTTAGTCTACAACAACCACCCGTTTCATCGAATGGGATCGCTCCATTTTCCCTTCGAGTTCTTTGTCTATTGACGTCAATAATCACCCCACCGATGTGTATATCGCGCGTAGTCCACTCGAAGCCCACAACCCGTTCGACTTGACCGTGTCACACATGGAAATATTGATCCGCGGGCCGTCCTCCGAAAAGAAAAAAGATAAAAGGGAGTCGCGGGAGGGAACGGGGAGAGAAAATCGAATTAATAAGAAAAGTGATCCAATTAGCCGCGTCTCGTGACTCTAATCAGGGCGAAAATTATTGCTCGCCGTTGATTGGGCAGGCAGTGTCCCGGCCGATGCGCCGCAGCGGGAGGGGGCGGGCAGGGGTGTATGATAAAGAGGGGCTCGATTGTTCGGCCGGAGTGAAAGTGAGAGGTGACGAGGCTGGGGGAGACTCCGCACCGGACCCCAAGACCTCATCTTCCGACC